TCTCCCTCTCTCTCTCTCTCTCTCTCTCACACACACACACACACACACACGCACGCACGCACGCACACACACAACCAGCTTGCCCATCTGAACTTGGGGACTTAGAAATTCCGAAATGACCGTGGTCTATGGGAAGACTCGGAACTCGGCACGCTGGCCAATCCAACCGGCGTCTTCCTAAGCTTCCCAGGGAGGGATTTTGTTGGTGTCTGAAAGAGAAAAGAACAAGTTCTTTTTTTAAAAAAAACCATTTTGATTCTTTTTTTTTTTTAAATGCCATGGATATAACTGAATAAGCCGTCTCAGGGATTTGGACTTGACGGAGGCAGAGTCCATCTGCCTGCAAATTCTCCTCTGCGTTCTGGGGAAGCTGGAGGATTTTTCCCTGAGTCGGTCTTTGGCGAGGAAGGATGCTCAGCAGAGCTGAGAGCCTGGCGAAGACTGTTCCCCCCACCCAGGGATAAATGGTGCCTCTCGGAGGTGAGTGTTAGGGTGTTTTTTTTTTCTCCGTTGTTTTTTCCACTCCTGGACTGTTGTCTATGCTGTCCCGGGGAGCCGTCGCTGGGGTGTGGGGGTGGGGAAACGGGTGGACTAAAGCCGTAAAGGGAAAACGACAACTTTATATCCCCTTTTCTCTGGCTGCGGGGCTTAGGATACTGGGTGGGGAACGATACCCCCTTCACTCCTAGCAGACATGTTGATCCCCTCCCCCCGACCATATCCCTGGGGCTTGCTCCACTCCTTCTCAATAGGGAAAGATTTTATAGGGGGAAAAGGGTACAGAACTGGTAAGAATAGGAGTGCAGGGATCGTCAGTGGTTTTTCTGCTCTTTCAGATCTAGGGGAAGAGAGATGGGAGAGCCGGAGAGGAGGTTGAATCTGGGAATCGGGTGGGAGCCAGAGAACTTTGCTGGCCAGAACCACTCTGTTGCATCTCCAAATCTTTCAGGGCATGATCCTGTCTGGCCAGGACTGCTAATGTTACGGCAAAGGGGTGGGCATGAGGGACGAGGGAGAAGATAGCAGAAAAGGGAGGCAAGTGAAGGGGCTTGAGCTATCCTTTAGATTTAGGGCCTGAATGGGGTAGGATATGGGACTGGGTGTGGGAGGGGTGTGTTTGGATGTGGGAGGGAAGAGGTGCTGCTTTTGTTAGGGAGGTAGATTTAGGGGGGGTGTTGGCCATTCTGTGTGGAAGGGTAAACAGAGCCCTTGGGGACAGTTAGGGGCACTCAAATAGCATGATGAAGCAGTTGTGGACATTGGCATCAGTGGAACCCCCAATCCCTGCCCCTCACCCTCCTGCCAATCCAGCCCTGCCCTCTTTCTCTATCTGGCAGGGACCAGTTCTAGAGCCAGCAATTCTAACCCTGCGCAGAGCAGCGCTGTCAGAGGAGGCCCATCTCTCCACTTTCCCTGCCCAGGGGTGCAAAGGAGGCAGTCATGATACTGAAACAGAGGGAGAGAGAGACAGAAAGAGTGAGACAGTGGGACAAATGCTGGGAAAGGAAGAGATAGGCAAAGGGACAGAGAGAGATGGAGGAAACAGTGAGACAGAAACTGAGAGAAAGAGTCAGAAACGGAGCCTCCGATCTTCACATCATATTATCTTCAGACATTAGCTATATAGACAATCAGTAGTCCAAAATGGTACATGTCATATGTACATTCCATAGTCATGCCCCCTATATTCTAGGAGTTGTAAGATAGTGCTGCAGACATAGCCCTATTTCTTTACAACAGCTACAGGGGTGTGTATGTTGGGGTAGGGAACTGAGGGGAGAGGAAAAAGTGGTACAGGGTAGGAAAGTGAATCATAAGCCCCTCATTGCCTGAAGTGGGGGCCAGGAAGGGTAAAGCCCAGAGAAAATTGCTCCTTTTACCATGGAAGAAGTTCATCCTGGCTGGGAGTTCACAGGAAGGGTTTGTTTGTTCATCTCTGGCTGTCTCAGTGGCCTTAGAGCCAGTGTGTGCCTTGGAAGAGCTAATTTGATAGCAAAGATGGGGGCAATGAGCTTGGGGGGGCATGGCCTTTAATGATTATGATTATGCCTTGGGGTGGTCATTCATTCCTTTTGGAGGTGCAGTCCTCTTTAATACTGTAGATAGTACTGCTTAAATGTTCACAGAAGGATATGGGGCTTGACAGGGTCTGGGTTGGGCTGGGCTGGGCTAAAGGAGATCCATATCCCGATGCAATTAAAAAGCAGAACCATTCACAAAACCCTGGAAGCCAAAGGAGTAAGTTTCCCATGTCCCTTCCTTTTGACATAAGCATGCTGTATTTGTCTCTGGACCCAGGCTGGGTGTTGTGAATTACATCTCACCTGGCCCTGCTACCTGGCCCTGCTTCCTGGCTGGCCCTTGTCCCTAAGCAGCCCCTGTGACACTCCATCCCATACTCCTACCCAGCCCCCTCATGGTTTTCCTGTCTTGAGTGCTTCTTGTCTAAATTCTGATGAGGAATACAATCACTTATATTCCTCTCCTGCCCCAGGGAATACAAACAGCGGACTTGGCATTTCTGCATCAGTTATAGGCACTGCTTCTCCAGATCAGACTGACAGGTCTGTCTGCTGCCAGGCTTCTGTAGCATCCTGGTGCTCCTCTCTAACCCTGTTCCCTCCTTCCCCCAAGTGCCTAATCTGTTCTCTAAGCTTGAACACCTTCTCACCCCACTGTGATCCATGGAACACTGGCCCAAAGATAACAGTGTGGGAAGGAAAGAGTGGGGGGAGAAGTAGCAAGGGAAGGCAGAGATGTCTTACCAGGCATGAGGGGGGGAGCTGGAGGCTTCCTAGGGACAAAATTGAGAAACGAGAGATGAGGGGCAAGGAAGATGGAACCAAACATCCCTCTAGATGTTTAGTGCTCGATTTCTCCTCATACTATCTTATATTTACTTATCTGTTTGTACGTTGTATCTCCAGATAGAATGTAAGCCCCTTGAGGGCAGGACTACTTTTCATGTTTGTATTTATATACCCACCACTTAGCACAGTATCTTGCACATAGTGGGTATTTAATAAATGTTTGCTCAATCAAACCGAATTGAATAATCCTCTACCTCCTCCCAAAGCCCTACGTTTAGGTAACCTTGAGCTAGAGGCTAGTTCTACTACAGAACAGTGCTGGTAGTGGGGAAAACCAGGTGTCTAGCAAATACATCAATTTCTCAAGCTCCACCCTTCAGTCAGTCATCACTGGAGCACAATGAGCTACCACATCCCATCTGTTTTCCTTCTCAGGAGCCCCCAAGGCCTCTCTTTCCCAGAACCCCTCAGCTGAAAGGCAGCTGGGAATTTGAGTCAATTAGGCTTACCTTGCGGGAGTTCCTGTTTCCTGAACTGGATGAAAGGCCTGACACTATCCTGCTATGTGGAACCCATCCTTGGGGCCTGCCCAGTCTGATAGGGGAGTCACAGTCCTTCACCTTAGGGGACTCCTTCTCTGATTTGGGAAACGAAGAAAGCAACCACATGTAACCACACAGTGAAGGGAAACACAGACTATATTTTCTAGTGTTTTGTGATTTGATTTGGAGGACAGGAGGGCAAGGCTGGAGTTTTACAGTCAAACTTCCAAATTTAGGCCTGAGAACAGTTACTAGAAACTACTGGAGTCAAACCAACCTATTCTCTACTTGCTTTGCCATGAGAATTGATGGGACAAGATATCCTGGGAAAGGAGGAGCACTCTTTCCATAGGATCCATAGAGGATAGCGTGTAACCACACTATTAGTCAACCCATACCATCAGAAGCCAACAGCTTATACCAACAGAAGCTGTGAGGAAGGGGTTTCTCCCTATGGAGTTCCCAATTGGATATCCATATGCCCTTGTGAAAAGCCTTGTTGAGCCCCTCCTGGTTTTGACCCTGGCCTGGGATAGTGTTCAATCATTGTTAGGTGCATCCTACTCTTTGTGACCCTATTTGGGGTTTTCTTGCTGAGATGCTGGAGTGGCTTGCCATTTCCCTCCCTAGCGTATTTTACAGATGAGAAAACTGAGGCAAACAAGGTTAAGTGACTTGCCCAGGGTCACTCAGCTGAGGCCACATTTGAACTCAGGTCCTCCAGACTCCAGGCCCTGTACTCAATCACTGCACCAAGGTAACAACAATTGACAAGAAGGGAGGACAAAGTGAGAAAGACATGAGAAAGAACGGGAGGCTTGAGAGTGAACATGGTTGTAAGGTGGTTACCTCCACTAGACAAAACCCTGATTTCTTCTAATGCTGTGAGCTGCAGATGATCCCATTGTCACTTATCAGGGGAGAGGTAGTCCTGGAAATAATAATAACAATAACTTATTGCTAATAATATCAATAATGATAACAACAATCACCTTACATTTGGTAGTGCTTTGCTATTTTCAACTGTTTTCGAATCTATTATCTCATTTGATTTTCACGACAATTTTGTAGTATAAGCAGAGTAGGGATTATTTCTGGGTTTTTTTTTGTTTGTTTTATTTTGTTTTTAGTGAAGAAATTGGGACTCAAGAGAGGGTGACTTGCCCAAGGTTTCATAGCTAATAGAGGAATTGGGGCTTGCACACAAGTCATCTGCCTGTTAATACAGTGCTCTGTTATACCCCTTGGACCCTGAAATACGTGTGTGGGGGCCATATGCCTTTCCTTTTTTAGAGAGGGGACTCTGAGACATCAGTGATCTTTTTTTTTCTAGGCCCCATTTTAGCTTTCCCAGACCTCTGTCATATTCTAAGAAGCTCCAACTTCTTTCCTGACCCAAGGGGGCAATGGATTTTTGCCCAGAGGGTAACCAGGGAGAGGGGAGAGATTAGCTAGCCTGTCTGGATTTTCCCAGGGGGACAAAGAGGTCTTCACTACCCCACTCTGGAATCTCTACTCTTTAGCTTGGCCTCTAGTGGTAGGAAAGATGAAAAGGGGCCTGACTAGCTCTAATGGTGCTAACTGGGAAGTCTCTGCTTGGGTCCAATTGGTCCCCAATAATACCTTTATTAGATTAGAAGACGGAATATAGTGGAGATCTAGGGCTGGGTGAGGGGGAGTAAAAGAAATGTTACCTTTCAGTTTCTTAGAAGAATGATCTTCTGTCAGGGGTCTGCCAGAAGGGTTTGAAGCAAACAGATGTAAACAGGTCATTAAGACCTCCCTAGAAGCCTCCCTGAAAACTATGAAAATGGTTCTTCTGAAAGTCAGTTCTGCCCTCTTTGTCAGGGGCCCCACTCCCTTGCCTTTCTGATGTCCCTTTTTGAATTCTTATCTCCTAAGGCCATTTGTTGGGAAGCAGTCTCTCTACCTTTTACAAACTTCATTGGTTTCTTATTACTACATAGGATTAGAAAGCAGCCCTTTCCTCCATCTCTGGCCCCACCCTTTACCCAATCTCTTTCCCACTAACAACTCATGAATACCCCGGTGCAAGGTGGAAGGCGAAAAAAGGTAGGAACAGTTTAGTAATGACAGCAAGAGAAATATCATTTTTGTCATTGACTTC